TTAAGTTTTGTGAAAGTTGCAGTGTAGGGACTGAAAAACATTTCCTTATGGAATGCACACTTTATGACGATATTCGATATAACCTTTTTCATGATTGTTCAAAATTTATTCAAGATCTTCACAGCCTTGATATAGATAACAAATTTATTGAAATTATGAACTGGTCCTATATTTTCAATGACAATATTTAGAACTTAACCTTAATAAGACAGATCAGTATTTATTTATATGATTTGCTAAGTCTAATATCTTGGCTGCGTACGTGCTGTCCTTGGTCTTTTCCTTTGGTTTTTCTTACGAGCAAGTTTTTGGGGTATTGGCACTTCAAACTCTGTGCACGAAGACTTAGTCGTGGTTTGAACGGATTTCGTTTACTTACAAATTATTTAGAAATAATACTCAAATATGATAATTTTCAGAAAACGGAGACAAATTAATTTTTCAGAATTTATTTTCACATTGGAATTCGTTCAAGGCTTGTATCACAGCTAGACAAGAACAACTTTAATGAGAAAGATAAATCTTAATAAATGAGGATTTTTAAAACATTCGTATTACTCAAGAATGAAATTACTGGACAAGAACGATAAAAATGAGAAAGAACACTAACTATATGAGATTTGATTATTTGAAAGGCGTATTTTGGCAAGTACGGCTTCTACAGTTAAGAACGGGTTCCATTTACAAAACTAAATCTTAATTCATGAAAAGTATGACAAATTTATTTCCCTTTTCAAACTCGTTCAAGGGATTTATTACTGGACAAGAACGAGTTTCAATAGGGGAATAAATCTTAACTAAATGAAATTTTGATTGAATCGTTATGTTATACATACACAGCCTCTCATTGGTCAAAAAGTGTTAATTATTTGAATGAATCTCAAAGACAAGAAAATAGAACAAAACACACACACACACAAATATATAAATAAGAATTAGAACGCAATGATACCAATATTTTTTTTTTAATTCAACGCTATTTTTAGTGAGTGATCAGATTAACTGTTAGCTTGAAAGTAAATTATTAATGGTGTTTCACCGATTCTTTTTTTTACTATGGAACAATGCAATTAAAGTCTATTGTAATATATCTAGAGATATGAAAATACGAAAGAATTATTCTTCTTAATTTTTGAACTAAGAATAAAACTAAACTTTTTATTGCACGAAATTTTAATAAAATACGAAAATCTATACAAAGAAAATAATAACGATATTTTTTTTATCTATTAAGTTAATGAAATGAAATGAATTGAATGAAAATTTCCCAACTATATATGTAGATTTCTCATATTTCTCGACTGGCTTCAATTATTACAAACAAAAAGAAAAATGTTTATTTAACGGGTTTTTTCTAAAACAATATATCTTCATTGTTCTTTATTTTTCAAAAGACATCTTGATTTTGTTTGTTTGCCAAGCTTACTTGTATGAGGTAAGTACCATCACTAATCACTCCTAATTATTAAAGATCAAACGACCTAATCAACATGATAATTGGTATTCACTATAATCATCGGTCATGCCTGACATATTTCATAAAAACGGCGCGTACCGATGAAAACCTTGATAACTTTTTAAATATTAAATTGATTTTATCAAAACAAAAGTTATAAGATGAAGAATTAAATTATCTATCGAATGCATACCTTCACCACTAACCAAAACATATTTTTCATGTCCTGAGTGCACTCAGGAGGTCCTGAGCGGTGTTTAGACGTACCGCAAATGTGTGTGTGTGTGAAATTTAAGGTAAAGTAGTGATTTAGTCCAAATTAAAAGGATAAAACACTTGTATGATTGAAGCTTTCAAACTAAATTGTAGACCCCAACCCGCAACATAGAATGGTTCACATTTTGAGTTAGAGCTGTTAGACTGCTCTATAATTTGGGTACGTCTAAACACTGCTAAGGAGTCCTTAATGCACTAAGGACGTATACTATGCCACTAAGGACTAGAAGGGGTGCTGTTACATGTATTATGTTTACATATTAAGTTAGAGATTGATATTTTGATAATTTGATATAATTTGTCTCAAAAGTAGTACACTGCACTGTGAGCATCTTTTTTGAGATAGAGCACGCGCGATTTTATTATTTAAAAGAAATGCTATACGAAATAACTAGGATCAGTTCATTTGTACTCGCTACACAAAAGGAGAAAAGATTGGTACGCCTCTCTTTTTGTCCAGTTACCAAAGTTCGTAAAATAAAAATTATATTTTCCGACAATGCACATATATATTGTATATGTTATTCCAACACTTACATTTTTCTTATTCTTTTAATTGTGTGGCTATTTAATGACCATTTTTATTTAAAGCCTGAATTTTCATCCTTCATTCTTAAGTACGTTTGAATTTCTACATAGATCACACTTAATTAATAAAAGTTTTGTGTTAAACGTCAATGACAAAGCAACCAATCCACAAAAAAAAAGACATCTAGAGGATACATAGAGATCTTTCGTCTGGCAGCACGTATAAACCACAGTTATCGTAAATCATATAAAAGTACAAAATAAATCGAAATATAAAAAAAAGCATTAATTTTTTAAGACAAAACAGAGAAAAGAACTGATAGGTCCGGGCGATCCATGCTTCTATATATAGCTAGCTCCCGTTATGTTTCGATTTATTCAAAATTCATGTTAATTAAATTTAAGTTACTTTTAAATATTATACCACATGAAACCTACACTGGTGGGTTCCATGTCATAAACCCACAGTTCGTCCTGAACATGCATGAAATATTTGCCACTGGACTTTAAGCAACCAACAATCAATCACAATTCACAACTTATAGTATATATAGTTGTGAAATACAAAATGTATGTATAGTGATACAATTTTGCCAAATAAATAGAATACAAATACACACCACTTTATATAACTGACGTAATTTAAAGGAATACTCTCTAAACTATATAAGTAGAGAAGTGAAAAGTTTCTTTTGACTATTGAACAAACTTCCGAACTGTACATGTTTTTATAATGGTTTGCCATGCAGCGCTCAAATATTTTGCATTATCTTTTGGTATAGTGTTTAGAAATATATAATATTGTTAGAACCTTAAACTACACATACTAAGCTATAATAGATTCAGATTCATTATTTTATTGAATATAAAACATAGCATATATTAAAACTGACGGTCAAACATCAACAACTTAAATACTAATACGTATACATAAATTCATTAATTCTTTATTAACTTTTAGCCCTACGGCATATTTTTATTAAGAATCATGAGTGTAATTGTAAAATAGACTTTCTTACGTTATGGATCATTGATTTTGTTACCTGTTGACCCGGTTGATTACTAGCCCGTGCCATTGAACTCAATCATTTTAACTAAAACGGAAAATTTTAAATTTACGCCATACACTAAGTACTATATATATATATATATAATATATGGGTTAGAAAATAAATATAAGGATACATTGTTTGAATGAAAATCTTTATACGGTGGTACTTTATTTATAGTTTAACACTGTCTCGACACAGACTGAATGCAGTATCATGATCAGCTTCATGTACTATGGCGACCTTGGTGGTGTTTAGACGCACCACTATGTAAAATAAATTATTGTTTAATAATATAAAATTATATTGTACAGTACAAAGCTATGGTTATAAAAGCTTTTCCAAGTTTAATAGAGTAACTCGCACGAAAATAAAAAAAAACCCAGCTCCAACGGTAATAGTAAACTAGGACATATCAACAGAAAACGAATTAAACCAACTGACATAAAACAAAAATACGCATGTGTTAATTTGCCTCCGCTTTATTTCTGTGGATTGTCTCATTGGCAATTATACCACATCTTCTTATTTTTTTAGGTTACGTTTTTAGATTTTCCGTTACTAATTTTCAAATACGAAAAACATTTTCACACAGGGTTCACAACATTTTTAAGTTAAATGTATGGCAAACATTTTTGTAAGTATACAATTAACTGTTTACGTCCTTCCATTTAATAAGTATCTAAATAAATAAACTAACAATTATTAAAAAATAAGCAACATATATAGACGAATAATTTATTAGTTCCTCAACAAAACAACAACAGAAATAAAGAATCAACAGAGGATTTAATCTTTAATTACTTTTTATTTATTCGAGAGATATACTTTAAATTCTAATAAATCTATATATTAATCTAAGATGCATTATCAAGCAGAAGGGGCGTAACTCGTAGTATCATACCGGCATACTGAACGGATCTAAACATGGTCTGACAATTTTGAACGTTAATTTTGAGATTTGGTCTGTTTTGGTCTGACACCGTCGTAACGGATCTTAACAGCTTGCTAGAAGATTCAGTCTTGTTTATCTTAACATGCCTTAACGGACTGATTTACCTAATGAGACTATCGATCGGAACGGCGTCTTAAAGTTCTTAAAAGTCTTGACGTTTTTCTCTAGCGGTAAATCCAGTCGATTAAGATATGATCAGACCAAAATGACCGTTTCAGACTGAAATCGTGCTACTAGTGATAAGTCTATATGTAAAAGTTGGCCAGGACATTTATGTTAAAATATATTAATTGACTCTGAGATTAAAAGTCAGTCATGGTGAGGTAAAAAATGTGCTGAATATCATTAGAATAGTCAAAAGATAGCAGTTCTGACAAAGACACAACTGCATGAATCTGACCTTGAGGTCAAAGGTTAAATCTTAATGTTGTCACAATGGTATATGACACACTGATTTATAAAGATACAACTACATGCCAATTATTACAAGTCCATGTAATCAGTTCTGCCAAGTACACACCAATGAAAAGACAATGAATATTTAAGGGTAAAATTATATATATACTTTTCTTGACAGTGAATATCATAAATTTCCCCTTAGAAAGACACGAAATGAGAAGTCATTTCAAAAAGATGAATGCAGTTTGGTAAATTATTAAATCTAACTCGTAAGATTGGAGTAACTATCTGATTAAACTGTTAAAATCTTGCCTAAATACAATAAAAACTCTGTTACCTGACAATAAACAGTACAGTTTTATATGTAACCCATGATGGCATGAGTAGCACATCTAAGTCTTCTCCAATGGAAAGTTCTAGAAATCGGTCAAATACTGCTGGACACCTAAAAAATAAAAAAATAAACACTTTCTAAGCTAAAAAAAATCAATGTATTTCATTAGCTATTAAAAATAATAATGTCTTGAAATTGCAATTATAGAAGGACATTTTTTATGGGGAGTAAATATTCACGTTTCTTAACAAAATATTCAAACGATTTTCTAAGGGCTAAATATCATGGGTTTATAATGGGTTATGCAATAATATATGATGTGATAAGCACATCATTCAAATTTTAACCCTACTGAAAATTGTTAACAATAAAAAATGAAATTAAAATCTGAACAAAATTTTCTTTCATTTGCAGTAGTGTTATTTGACTTGCACTGATTCTGAGATTGTAATTACTTCAAAACATTCACTTTGGGAATCCATGGTTCATGTATATATTTTCAAATTAAAAGGCTCATAAGTCTTCTAAACTTGAAAGTATTACTTATGATTACATTTTTTCAATCTCTCTTTTGAAAAAAGTACATAATTCCAATGATTTGATTTGATTTTTGGTGTTTTAACGCCACTTTTAAGCACCGCTTTTGGGCTATTTCGTGGCAGCTAGTTTTTATTGGTGGAGGAAGCCAGAGTGCCTGGAGAAAACCATGACCTTCGATAGGAAAACTGACAATCCTAGTCAATTAAGATTGGAGTCGAGTGCACCTGCACGAGCGGGGTTCGAACTCACAACCTCAGTGTTGACTGGCTAGTGATTACAGTAGTTACTACTTAGACCACTCGGCCACCAAGGCCCCCATAAATCCAATGAACATGTTGAATTGATGTATTGATACAAAATAAAACTATGGGCTCCCACATCTTTCTTTGCAGTCCTTTTACCACAAACTTTAAAAAAGAAGAAAAAGACAGGTTACTGTGTACACAACCATTAAGGGAGATGACTCTTGCAAGTTAAAAACAAGTTTCAGGTACCAATTTCAAGCATCTCAGATAGTATCTACTGTTTAAGCTGCATCTCTTATAAGAAAATAAAGAGCTGCGCCATGAGCGCATGATATGCCTGTCGCTTTTTCATCAATTAAAGTTCCATAACTCCTCAATGTCATATCAGAAGTTTATAAAAAAAACTAAAGGGAGCTTATTTTAATAGATATAAACCAGTCACCAAAGTTACATGAAAACTGCTTAAAGCATTTTTAAGTTATTGTCCGAAAACTGGAAAATCCCCCCTTGTTTATGAATACAGACGCAATATTCCAAAATGTAAAATCAGAAATTTAAAAAAATCGAAAGGGAACTTATGGCAATATATATATAAACAATTCACCAAAGTTTCATGAAAATTGTTCAAAGCATTTTTGAGTTATAGTCAGAAAACTGGAAAATCCCCCATTTTTTATGAATTAACCCCATAACTCAGAGACATAAAATCTACAATTTATAAAAATCGAAAGGGAGCTTACATCAATAGATATAAACAATTCACCAAAGTTTCATGAAAATAAGTTTAAATCATTTTTTAGTTATAGTCTGACATGTTGAGGCTGAATGGACAGACAGAATGACAACGGTATACCATAATACGTCCCATAAACGGGTGTATAAAAATCTAACAAGAAAAATTTAATTGTAAGTCGTGCACATTTTAGTATAACTTAAGACCTATTTCAGTGGTAAGATTTTTTGTGAAAAGAGCCCCAGACATTTATTTTTTTAATTCAGGGGCTTAATTAGAATAAAACAAGAATGTGTCCAATGGATACAAATGCTCCAACTTGTAAATATATGGCAAATTCATTAATTTTCTATTTTTAAAGGGTCCCCTCCGCCACGGCGGGGCATACAAATTGGAATTTTTGGGGTTAGATTGCACAATAGTAAAGGATGGAAGAAACAACTAATAAAATATGATAAATCAAATGGAAGATATCATGCTCAGGAAGTAATAAGTTCTTGCATCATCCAGCTTGCTATATGTCATTAGGGAGGGTAAACAGAAATCTACAATGCAGAAAACAAAAATATATTAAAGAATTTTACCTGATGTGAAACAAATACTATTCAAAAGTTAAGTAAGTTTTGAATTCACATGGGTTCAAGACAGTTTCTTACCTTGACTTCAAAATGAACTTATGAACTTTAACCTCTTTTCCTTCTGCTCTTATCAACAGGTCAGAGTGTTCTTCATTGTGTAATAGACTGAAAAAAAATTATGTACAACATGTTTAACTTCTATTCAAAGATTTCGAAAGTACAGCACAACCATGGCGGGTATGGTCTGCAGTCGACCCGATGGTCCCAGCTATGTATCCAACACATTAGTTGTTTGCCGTTCTAGCCAGGAAGGAATTTTCAAGATTTTCATATTTATTTTTTTTTCCTACGAGGACCATCGGAAAATCTTTTAGCGGGCGTCCACGAGTCTTACGACTAGCAGGGGAGAAACAATGTCATCGGGAAAATTTTTTTACGTTGGAGAATTTTTCAACGAGGACCAACACAAGATGTTTTAATCATCAGGCTACATCGCAAGAAATTTAAGTGGGCTACCTCGGGCTCTCGAGAGGAGCAGGTTGAAATTTTTTTTTTTTATTGGGGTACACCGCAAGAAATTTTAGAGGGCTACCTCAGGTTCTCGCGACGATTAGGGTGATAAAAAATACTCTTGCAGATGTACAGGATGAAATAGCATTCAGTTGTGTTCACATATACATGTTTAGGTTGACAAAAATTGTAATTAGATGACTCTCAAGCTTACTGACTGAGACATTTTATAACCATGAATAAAAGGAAATGTGGGGTACATGTCAATCAGACAGCAACCCAACAAAAAAATAAATAACAAAAGGACATCTAGAGGGCAACAAAGATGTCTATAAAATATATCAAGCTCAAAATCATACCAAAATTTATAAAAAGTGTAAACTATTTTACAAAAACAATCAAAGATCTTCAATGCCACCATTAACAATTCTCCAAAGAAGAAATAAAATTAAAAAAAAACATTTGATTCTAGAAGTGTCCACCAGGAACTTCTGAAGAGCATTTCTGTCTTACCTTCCTAAATCTTTTTGCAGTTGTTTGATAACACTCTGTTTCAAATTGTCTTTCTCATGTTGACAGCGTTCTAAAAATGATTTTGTTTTAGAAGACAGTATTTTTTCTTTAGGACGAGCCATACTTCGAAATTCTGTTTTTTCTTTCTAGCAATCTACAAATACATGTATAAAAGATATTAACTATAAGTACTAGGTGTGTGTGGTATAGGAGATATATCCTGTATGTAATAGGTGTGTGGTATAAAAGAGGCAAAAGATACCAAAGGGACATTCAAACTCTTAAGTAAAAAAAAAACTGACAATCCCATGGATAAAAAAGAAAAAGACCTACAGACAAACAACAGTACACAAAACACAACATAGACAACTAAAGACTGAGGAACACAAATCCCACCAAAAACTGGGGGTGATCTCAGGTGCTCCAGAAGGGTAAGCAGATCCTGCTCCACATGTGGCACCTGTATAAGAGATATATTCTGTATGTAATACGTGTACAGAATAAGAGATATATTCTGTATGTAATAGGTGTGCAGAATAAGAGATATATTCTGTATGTAATAGGTGTGTGGTATAAGAGATATGTTCTGTATGTAATAGGTGTGTGGTAAAAGAGATATATTCTGTATGTAATAGGTGTGTGGTATAAGAGATATATTCTGTATGTAATAGGTGTGCAGAATAAGAGATATATTTTGTATGTAATAGGTGTGTGGTATAAGAGATATATTCTGTATGTAATATGTGTGTGGTATAAGAGATATATTCTGTATGTAATAGGTGTGTGGTATAAGATATATATTCTGTATGTAATAGGTGTGCAGAATAAGAGATATATTCTGTATGTAATAGGTGTGTGATATAAGAGATATATTCTGTATCTAATAGGTGTGTGGTATAAGAGATATATTCTGTATGTAATAGGTGTGTGGTATAAGAGATATATTCTGTATGTAATATGTGTGTGGTATAAGAGATATATTCTGTATGTAATAGGTGTGTGCTATCAGAGATATATATTCTGTATGTAATAGGTATGTGGTATAAGAGATATATTCTGTATGTAATAAGTGTGTGGTATAAAAGATATATTCTGTATGTAATAGGTGTGCAGAATAAGAGATATATTCTGTATGTAATAGGTGTGCAGAATAAGAGATATATTCTGTATGTAATAGGTGCGTGGTATAAGAGATATATTCTGTATGTAATAGGTGTGTGGTATAAGAGATATATTCTATATGTAATAGGTGTGTGGTATAAAAGATATATTCTGTATGTAATAGGTGTGTGGTATAAGAGATATATTCTATATGTAATAGGTGTGTGGTATAAGAGATATATTCTGTATGTAATAGGTGTGCAGAATAAGAGATATATTCTGTATGTAATAGGTGTGCAGAATAAGAGATATATTCTGTATGTAATAGGTGTGTGGTTTAAGAGATATATTCCATATGTAATAGGTGTGTGGTATAAAAGATATATTCTGTATGTAATAGGTGTGTGGTATAAGAGATATATTCTATATGTAATAGGTGTGTGGTATAAGAGATATATATTCTGTATGTAATAGGTGTGTGGTATAAGAGATATATTCTATATGTAATAGGTGTGTGGTATAAAAGATATATTCTGTATGTAATAGGTGTGTGGTATAAGAGATATATTCTGTATGTAATAGGTGTGTGGTATAAGAGATATATTCTGTATGTAATAGGTGTGCAGAATAAGATATATATTCTGTATGTAATAGGTGTGTGGTATAAGAGATATATTCTGTATGTAATAGGTGTGTGGTATAAGAGATATATTCTGTATGTAATAGGTGTGTGGTAAAAGATATATTCTGTATGTAATAGGTGTGTGGTAACAAATCATCTTTAGAAAATAATGGGAAAGATTAACTATAGACTGATCATGAGCCTGAGTGTTAACTATAAAAAAACTAAGTCAATTTATCAGTAAAATACGGAAAAATGAAAATAAATATTTTCAAAATTTTGCTCTGGATACTGTATTTTGGTCATCAACAAGTTTCTGTCCCAATTTCACAAATTTCCATGAAGGTTTGACAAAGTTATTGATGTCTAAAAAAACTTTAACCACAGACTGAACCTAAATTTTGATGCTGCAGGATAGTGCAATGATTGCACAAAACTTACAAAGTGTTATCCTTTACATGACAATTATATTTTTCTCATTCTTCTTGAATGGTATTCCATCATGTGTATCTGCTTTTGTAACGTTTTTAAATACTAAATCAAAAATATACATTGGATAACAAGGAGTTGTATTCTCTCTGCTCTCCCCATGCCTAGCTAGTTCATATTGTATGAAAAAATTCTAGGTAAATAATAATATAATGACCCTAACTCAGAAAATTATCGACTCTCAAGATAAAGTACCCGTATACAGTTTACATCTGTTTTGACTAAAACTTTATACATTTCTAGTCAATGTGTGAATGAATGATATAATATATGAAAAAGATGACATGAATTACATGTACAAAAAAATATTATCATTTAATTCTTGCTGGTCCATTGATGACTCCATTACAGCCATTAGACTGCAGAAATTGCAAAAACTTTAACTTTGGTGCGGAATCTAGAATCACTTTGTCTCGCTTTGGCGAAATTAATTTTTTGCAGGCTGGACAAAAATGGGAAATGCAAGAAATTATATTTTTTAAGTGGATTTATTTATTGGATGAGACATTTCTACAGAGGTAGAAATGTGTCATAATGCTGAAACCTTAACTGTTAAATGTCAGGCACAAAATGCATATAACTTGTATAAATCTGGGTGCTATCAGGCTTTAAAACTTTTCTAGTTTTGTCTGTAACAGTTCTCAGAGTAAATTTCAAGGTGTATGATGCTGGACTGTAATTTAGTTCATCAGAGTTTAGTTTCAACGTTACCTGGAGACATGGAGATAGTGTTTTTTATCGTATATTTTTTTTTTACTACATGTATCAATGATGGTTCAGCAATGAGCATTGAAATATATTATATATATAATGAATCCAAAATGGTTAACTCTTATTTTCGCAACAATTGCACTAGAGCATGTACATTGTAGTACATTACCCTATTCCTGTAGACAGACTATGCCATGTAGTACATTACCCTGTTCCTGTAGACAGACTATGCCATGTAGTACATTACCCTGTTCCTGTAGACAGACTATGCCATGTAGTACATTACCCTGTTCCTGTAGACAGACTATGCCATGTAGTACATTACCCTGTTCCTGTAGACAGACTATGCCATGTAGTACATTACCCTGTTCCTGTAGACAGACTATGCCATGTTATAAAACATACAGTTACCTGGCAAGTTGTATTTATTATTACCATTAAAAGTATGATGACAATGTTATGAACATGAATATTTTTAATTCATTCTGTTTGTTAGGTTTATGTTAGGTATAAAATGAGTTTTAATAGCAGCAGTGCCTATTCATCATTCAATTTCATAGCAAACAAAAAGATTTCTATTGGGAAACTCACTTGATCAATCAGGCAGATTTTTGTATCAAAAAGATAAATAATAAGCCAACATGATATTGTCCCCATTTTAAAGTATAAATTTTTATGCCAATGATGTAGGATATCATCAAAGTTACTGATTGTATTTCACTATGATGTTTGTATATGATAATGATTTCTTGTAATGTCATAAGTTGTGAAATATGTAACGTAAGATTCAATATAATTTTACCACTGTATAGCATCACCACCAGTCATACATTGAAGGTACCCCGAAGCGGTGGAAAAAAACCAAATGTGTAGTCAGGTAAGGTAAAATACTTCCTATTTCACCATATTCCATGTTTTGCTGACAAGTAAGTTTTGTACCTAATAATGTAGCTACTATTTAAGGCTGATTATGATCCTTAATTTATCTTTCTCTCTCTTCAAATCGTCAGAATCAGACTGGGTATTACCTGTTCAAAGAAGCTTGTGACAAGTTCAGACTTGTTAACACATTTATCCTTCAACTATTCATTTGACTTTTTTGTAGCACAAATTTATATCATATTTTAGCTTTGACAACACTGTAAAACATGTAAAATAACTATTGTTTTCACTGAGAAATTCATGTATACAAAGTGGAAAAATTGTATGGCAAATAGATTTTCATTGTAAGGGGAATAGAATAGATACTTTTTGCTATCATTGTCTCTTTGCTTCGGGGGTATCTATATCCAGTGGTGATGCTATATGTACACAGTGTCGGTGTTTGCTGTAGTTCTAATTTGGCAAATATCAGTACTTCAATAGTTAATTATACAAACTTCGTCCGCCTTCATAGGTAACACCTGCCTTATATTATGAACACCTTTACTCCTTACCTAAAATAAAATCGTTTGAGGCTTCACAAAATCGTAAGAAGCAATATAATTTATGTGGAATTTATTTCCACTGGAGGCTGCCATATTTAAATTATAACAGGTAAAGTTTAACTCGGTAAAAAATTCCGGACTACAACCATATTCAAAATTATATTATCTTTACACATCAGCAAAAGGTTAGGGAACACTCATTATTTACCAGCTGGGATTTGGTTGGGGGGTTGTGGGGGGGGGGGGGGGGGGGGGGGGTTGAGAGGGGGAGGGGGTTGGTGAATGTTTCACCCAAACCATGATGATAAAATGAACCCCCAGGTTGGTAAAATCTAAGAAATCCAATGATTTTTAATGGAAGGACACAGCTTTTTGTTCAAATTATTGCTGGTAAATAATGACTGTTCCCTTATGGAAGTTTTAAAATCTTATGTCTCGTTATTAAAAAGCGAAAACTTAAGAAGGGACAGCCGAACACACGTATTAAAGAGCTAAAGGTTAAACTAGATCTGATGTCATGTGGTTTTGATTTAAGGTAGCTGCCTGGGGTGTCTAAATGTTCGTCGATAGATTTTTTTCAAACTTATGTGCAAGGACGTGAAAGACTTCTGGGTCAATGTACCTAGTCTTTTCGTTAAAATACACTGAAATTATCGAAATCTCAGTTATTTTATAAGGGAATTAGAACGGGGGAAACTTAATTTTTCTTTATTGAGAAGTCATCAAACGATAGAATTGGTTAAAATTCAATGTAATGAGAGAACATAATACATCCGAGATATCAAATAAAAATAGGGGGTCACAGGACTTATTTTATTGAAAATTCAATATAATTATATATCTGCCCTTGATTTTAAAAGGATTTTTTCTAAAAAATTTAAATACACTTTATAATGGCACTTAATTTTTATACGACCGCAAAATTTTTTTTGTATTGGTATGACGTTGGCGTCGTCGGCGTCGTCGTCGTCGTCGTCGTCGTCCGAAGACACATTGGTTTTCGCACACTAACTTTAGTTTAAGTGAATGGATCTTTATGAAATTTTACCACCATAAGGTTAAATACCACAAAAGGAAGGTTGGGATTGATTTTGGGGGTTATGGTACCAACGGTTAAGGAATTAGGGGCCAAAAAGGGAAAACAAATAAGCATTTTTGTAACTTCCAGACAATAACTTGTGTGTTAGTGTATGAATCTCTCTGACATTGTACCACAAGGTTCCATATCATAAAGGGAATGCTGGGATTGATTTTGGGGGTAATTGCCTCAAAATTTTAGGAATTGGGGGCAAAAAAGGGGGCAAAAAAACCCAAGCATTTTTCTAGTTTCACGACAATAACTTGTGTGTAAGTGTATGGATCTTTCTGAAATTGTACTACAAGGTTCCATATCACAAAGGAAAAGCTGGAATTGAGTTTGGGGGTAATTGCCCAAAACGTTTAGGAATAAGGGGCCAAAAATTAGCATTTTTCTAGATTCCAGACAATAAATTGAGTTCAAGTGTATGGATCTCTCTGAAATTGTACTACAAGGTACCATACCACAAAGGGAAGGCTGGGATTGATTTTGGGGGTAATTGCCTCAAAATTTTAGGAATAAGGGGCCAAAAGGGGCAAAAAACAAGCATTTTTCTAGTTTCGGGACAATAACTTGTGTGTAAGTGTATGGATCTTTATTAAATTGTACTACAAGACTCCATATCACGAAGGGAAAGCTGGGTTTCAGTTTGGGGGTAATTGCCCTAAACGTTTAGGAATTTGAGGCAAAAAGGGGCCAAAAAACAAGCATTTTTCTAGTTTCCAGACAATAACTTATGTTCATGTGTATGGATCTCTCTGAAATTGTACTGCAAGGTACCATACCACAAAGGGAAGGCTGGGATTGAGTTTAGGGGTGATTAATCATAAGGGGGTTCAAAAAATTTATGGGGGGGATTTTTTTTCCTTTTTTTTTCTTTAAAATTTTCCATTTTAAGTTGGTTATTTCTGATTTATATATAAAAGCAAATAATAATGATATGGTTTGAATAGGTAAATTAAAAAAAAATTAAGTTCTTAGACCACATGCATTCTGTGTCAGAAACCTATGCTGTGTCAAATATTTAATCACAATCCAAATTCAGAGCTGTATCAAGCTTGAATGTTGTGTCCATACTTGCCCCTACTGTTCAGGGTTCGACCTCTGCGGTCGTATCAAGCTGCGCCCAGCGGAGCATTTTATTTGATAGTGTTATCTTAATCTTTCAAGTTTTAGATGTGTCTGTTGTATATTGACTGATACTTGGTAAAACATTTTAAATGTAAAAAGTATTTTTGCAACATGACCATAATGGATGCCCAGAAAAACACTATCGTTCTACCTTAAAACAATCGTGATTTTTTTCTTAATCGCAATACTTGTGTAAAGTAAAATCAGTCGGAATTAATTATGATAAACCGGCCACGCATCGATGTTTAAGTTATGTCGGTTAAAAGTTCAATAGAGCTTATATCTCTGGTTTGTAAACCCTGCAGACTCTCAATAAAGCCAATGTAACATTTTTATAACGGTAAGTAGATCAAGTGTTCTGTGTAATTGTATCAGTTTACTTATTTTCATTAATAGTCATTAATACAGTTAGATATCATCAGAAATATTTATCAAGAGTTATATTAAGATTTCTTTATGAATAATGGATAATAAATAAGCTTTATTTAGAGTCGGCATAGTATATAAACAAGGACATCACATAAGCTCTATTGAGCTTTTAACCGACATACAAGACATAACAATACAGTACATAATAAGCATGCAATAAGTTACATAAATCAAAGTGAAGCACTATAATAAGGCATGGTAGTAATAAGCAGATTATAAGCATGATAAGCTAGGTATTAAAGCTAAAAGCATATAAAATGTAAACTAAGCATGATTAGGAAGCTGGTAAAATGCATAGCATTAAATATCAAATATAGGATTTATTAATGAAATATTATCAAGAAAAAAATGTAAAAGCAGTGCACCATCTTAAAACAAATATTTGATGAATTTGTAAGGAAAATAAAATTTCCAACTACGGACATCAGAAGAACAACCTTTATTAAGGTTACGAAAATAAACATTGCTCTATGCCAACATACAATCATTCATCTAAAATTTCATTCAAATAAGAAAAAATCAAAATCAATGAACAACCAAGAAAAAATAGAAAAATAGTAGACCTTTGTTTCAAAAAAGAAATGCTCCAAAATGCAGTCATTTACAGTTAAATTTGGTGGGACAATACTATTGAAAAATAATATTAGATTAATTTCCCTTTATTCATTGGTCACAGGTAAACTCAATATGAAGAAGCCAACCATAAAGAAAGGTAAAAATAAAGAATAGGAAGATGAAAGCTGTAAAAATTCTTAGCATTCCTGGGGTAAAGAGACCTGTTAAATGACATAAAATGTAACGAACAGTTTGCGCAATCGTTATTTGCAATTGGAGACAAGAGTATTCAAGATGCACACTTGAAGTATATTTTTCAACTACAAACGTCAGAAAAATCTTTAAAATCATGACAGGAATGACCGTCACTATGAGTTTAGTCCAAAAAAG